TTCATGTGCTGAAACTGTCAGACTCATAATTAACTGATTAGAGTACATATGGTGCTCACAGACAGTGTGAATCTCTCAATGTAAAAAATGCTGGAGACCATTGAAGGTGTCAGCATGAGTCTTCCTTGCAAATCTCTCTTCATTAAAGTTTCATATGGAGCCAAGTGTGTTGTAATAAAATTGCTATTAATGGAGTTATATTTATGATGATTTCTCTTTTGTGCAGCTTGATTTAACTTTTCAAACACTAAATTCCACATCAGAGCTTTTTCCCAGTAGCTGCTGTGTGCAGCAGAAGCAGCTTCTTGTTTTGTCATATTTACCTTCAAATTAGAAGTAATGGGAGATAAGAAAGTAAAAGTTAACCAAGACTGGCAAGAAAACTGTTATCACTGGTATCAAAACAAAAATTCATGCTGTGATATAAATACAGCTACAGTTTTGTTTATTTTAAGTATTTACAGCAGGCAGGCCAGGGACAAACTCATTCCCTCTTCAGTTCCAAAACACACTTTTAAAAAGATGTTGAGTGACACTTCATTAACCACATGAAATAGGGTGACACAGCCTGCTTGCTTTTCCAGCCACCATTTCAGATGGCAGTTTTCTTTGCATTTCCCCCGGATTTATATTCAACACTCTGTAAAGTACTTTTGTGAACCTCTCCAGCCAGATCAGCATTGTGGGGTTGGGCTGGGGGCAGGCAGTTCTGGAGGGGATAAAAGAATCATTTTCAGTCCCAGAACAGACTACGTGTTCGCATGTCCATGCACTAGAGATCTAGATTTTGTCATCAGTAATCAATGAAGGGAATTTAAAAAGTTCCGCATCAGCCTTTCTTTGTCTTCCAGTCCTCTGCCCCATCAGGTTCTGACAGGATGGTTGTTACTCTGCAAGACTGTGTCTCTGAAGTGATCTGGGATGAAAGCATCCTTCTCTATGTCATTTTCTGTAAAGGTAGCTGTAACCCAGGTGATGCCTGCCATGCAGACGCAGCAGCACTCCCAGGAGTCGTCCTGCCCAGCAAGGGCTGGGGAATGAGGGAGTCAGGCACGACTCAGTGTATCACCTAACTCCAGCCTCCCAGCATAAATTAAAAAACTACTCACACACAACCCTCCAGGGCTTACACGCTCCTCTCTCATTCCCTGTGTTCTTTTAAATGGCTTTCCATCTCCATTTATACATCAAGAAAAGAACTTATCAGAGACCTCATCTCCCTAATGAGTTAAAAGCTGTTTCCTCAGCCTGAAATTTTTCTAGTCCCACATGGTTTTGCCTCTTTCCTACTATGTTATCGCTATCACTCCATCTTCACGAGAGAGCTTCCTGCCTCACACAGAGCTGCTGCTGGAATGGATGGGAAAATCTCCATTTTTAGAGTAAGGAAAAATCCCTGTTAAGAACATCACTTCTTACCTCTGTGGCTTGTTCAGAGGTGGGGCTACTGGTAACAGATTAGGACAGACAGAAGAAACAAGAAAAAAGAAGTATTGAAGGGCTCTCTGCTAAGGAGCACAGAAAGAGATTTTAGTAAATTAAGTAGTCTGTAGGAAAAAAAAAAAAAGTAAAAAAAACTGTGATAAAAGAAGTCAGGGAAGAGAGACATGGTGCATGGCATGAATTTTAAGGTTTATGAACAAAGCTGAAAGGTAGAAGCTACAAAATGCAATGCAAGAGGATGCATTTGCTTTAGAGGCTCTAAGAGCTATTAAACTCAGGATGCTCCTGGACCGTAGTGATACCTGCAGCCCCCACAGCGGAGATGCAGCACGCAGGGACTGTGCAAGGGCTACTCCTGCACAACCACACAGCCCTGTTTTGGCTTACACTCCCAGCATACACTGAGCTGCCAGAAGCACTCCTCTCTGGACATAACTGTAGGTACTGCAGTGGTATATCCTCTGCCAGCCAGGGATCTTCATTGTTTTTCACTCTTTAACCAGCTTAGCGTAGCAAAAAGTAATAGTGTCAGCCAGGCCTTTTCAGCTCAGATCCATCACTCTCTCTCCTCGCAGCATGCCCAGACGTTACCCAGATCTCATCAGGATAGTTGTACACATTGTTGCTTTGCTGCTGTCAAAAACTGTTTATAAACAAGAAACTGTTCATAAAGAGGACGTCTCAACCAGCTCCAGTGGGATGCCCTGTGGGGGGAGCGCAGAGCAAGCTCTGCAGAGGTGGGGCAGTGGGCCATTTCCCTCCCCCTCCCTCCTGTTGTTGCCCAGAGACAGAACTTGCCTAACTGTTCAGGTACAAGCTAGAGAAAATGAGAACCTTCTGGAACAACCTATTGTGCATGCATAAGAAAGACTATATAAAGGCAACACCCCACATGTGTCTGTCGACCCACCACCTACAGACCAAGCTGGGGATCCAAGGGTGATGATCTCCCCTTTTCCTATCCCCTCCTCTGCTTTTTTCTCTTTCCTCTTTCTGCTCTCTTCCTTTCATGTGTTTAAATTTTGTACGAATTGAATTGCGATTGGTTGATAATTGATGGGTTATTAGGAAACTAGTCTCAACGTCAAAGTGCCTTCATTCCTTCTCTGGACAGTTATCAGTTGATTGTTACCAAATTGCCTCCATTCACTTACTAAAGTGGTCAGTTAATAAAGTCACCAGCACAATTTTCCCTTTGAGTCACTGCTGTGACTCGGCTGCCCTGTGGCTCTGCCGAGCAGCAGAGCAGCGACCGGCTCTTTCACCAGCACACAGCCTGTCGGGGAATTCAAAAGATTCACCCCCGTCATAACCCACCATGTGGGACGAGACAGCTGCCACGTGTGAAGCTCGCAGATGGGCTCTTCTCATTCTTCTGTGCTACTCTACAAGCTGGCTGTGTGCTGCCCTCCCAGCCCATCCACACCAGGGGCTCCCAGGATGGCCTGACCCTTCTGCCACACTTAAACATGTTGAAGTTCCCTTTTTCCTTCCCTCCTTCACCCTCCCCATCAGAGACTGCTTCTCCCACATCTCAGAAACAATAGAGGCTCCAAGGTGCCTCATTCCTGCTGTCTCCTCTGTTTGTGAGATGAGTCATGCAGGTGTCAACATTTCTAAAATTTGTACAGAGGCTCAGCAGAGCTGGGAGGGTGCAGAGCATTATGTTAGAAGTTATTAATAGCTGCTATCGACCAGTTCTTTGAGCTAAAGGCAGCTGATTACAGTTGCTGCTCCCGATGATGAGACACCAGGAGTCCTGCCTGTACCTCAACTTCCCTTTCCAGTTTTCAGATTTTTACTTAACGAGAAAACTTTCCCCCCAAATCTCAAAATAGATGGGATTCAGCAGTCAACATTGCAGTCAGAAAGGCAAACACAATCAAGTGAAGCATAAAATTTTACTTTACGAGGGGAATATCAGGTCCTTGAATCCTGCTTCTAGCAAAGTCTTTGAAAGGCTTAAAGGTTGACATCACACAAAACAAACCTCCAGAGAACACAGCTCCTTTCTGAAATGTTCCACGTAACCCTTAATCCATATCCATGAAAGCAAACTTATAATTTGTTTTCTATAAATAAAGAGATGTAGCAGTTGGTTCCCACACTCTTCCACGCTTTCACCTGAAGAAGAAAAGGTAAATTGCCCAAAGACACCATGCGCATTTGACCTATTTAGTGAAACAATTAATGAAATTTCCCTCCAACAACCCAGAGGCACTTTCGGAAACAACTAAGAAAAAAGGATAAAATAGCCACCTATCACTTTATGTCAGCATCATCTAATCCTGCTCTGTCTGGTGGTAAGCAATATGGTGATCAAAAGACTACACTGAAAAACATTCTGCAACAAGACGAATTCAGGGAAATTTCCATTTAATCTGATGTTACCAGTAACTTCTCTATAAACTAGATCAAAACTCTGCAGAATTCCTTGTCTGAGAAACAGGGATGAAGTGGATCTATACCATGATATTGATCTATACCACACTATGCTGCTCTACTTGCTAAGGCTTTAAAAGTCACTGGAGCCACTGTTGCCTGACTTAAGTCCCCATCCACCAACACAAGAAAAGAGGATTTTTAAGGATGCCAGAGCAACAAAGAGGTTTGTGCACAGTGGGACAATCTACTCTATGGCTTGAACGTGAACCCAAGGAGCATCAATTTCTACAAGTTTTACTCCATTTCAATTATGGCATCTATAAATCTATATGATGGTGGAACCAGGCATGAAGAAAGGAAAACTCACATACTTATGACTATTGTAAAGCCTATGTAATAAAACTGCCAAGCTTTAAGATCACATACATATTCCAAATATTTCAACTCATGACCATAAAGCCCATTCCACTATGACAAAGTATAAGAGAGAAGAAAGGAACTGCTTGGCAAATACATGTTAACATTTACCTCATTACAGTCACATTTCGAATTACAAATTTTCAAAAAGAGAACTAAAAATAATATAAGAATTCCTTCAAGAAATACTTCTATCTTTGGAAAGAACATTTGTTCTCAGAGAAAACCTAGTAAAAAGCATTTAATAGAGTTACTGGTATTCTGGGGCTTTCAGGCCCAATGCCAAGAAGTGAAGAATTAACAGCAGACACATCCTTTACTTCTTCAACCCTTAGAGTAAAGCTCTTATAAACACACACTCACTTAAACTGTGTACAGAAGAGCCTTGCTACACATGCAATACAGTGTATCACTTAGACTAGACCACAGAGAAGACACTACATCTGCTACATTTAATTAGTCATTTACTTACCCTTTACACAACCCTTTAACCCACAGGGACTAGTTGTCACTCCAGCCGTGCAGTATAGCTATGCTTGACACAAAGCACATTCATCACACCCAAAGATTATTATTCTTGGCTTTTGCCAGCTTCAGGTGCAGAATAACAACTTGTGGGTCTTACTGATCCTGAAATTTTGAAGTCTGAATTTTGCAAACCTGTCTTCTGTGAGAGCAGACCACATCACTAGACAATGGAATCTTAAAGGTCTCAACTACTTCACCCCTGGGGTTAAGAGCCTGATGCTTCTTACCTCCAGCTCGGTGTTGTGAGCATGCAGCTTCTGCACCATCTCCTCGGCCTCACGCATACGCCGGTTCAGCTGGGGCGAGTGCTCTGAAGGGGTCAGCTCGTTGTCATACGACTCCAGAATAGCTCTCATCCCATCACGCTCCTGTCAGGAAGAACAGCAAACACCTTTAGAGATAAAGCCCCTGACCTCACTCTGAAGAGAGGGTTCCCAAAACAATATTCTATGCTCTTGCCCACTGTTCTTTTACACAGCAAAGAAACCCTGACAGATACACACTCATTGTCTTCATATCAGCATCACGCCACAGACATGAACACACAATTCTAACAAAATAAATGTTGTTGCTCTGAAAACTGAAAAATTGGACTGTCTTGTGTATACAAAACCACAGATCCCTTGCAGGAAAACAATATGCATACACTCTAAGAGGCAGATGGCAACTGAAAACAGAGCCTGCTTTCTTTTTGGAGACATTATTCTAATTCAACATGGCTGAATGGGTTTCTTCAGCAAAATATTTAGCATAATACTTGATATTTTTTCTAACAAAAAGTTCCAGCAATGAATGAACAGAATTGTCACAACAGAAATGAAACAGATTTGACAATGAACAAAGTGTCTGAGAGCAAATATCCTCTAAATAGTATGTGACTTATCACTCATTAAACACTGCAATACTCAGTGTTTATCATACTTTTTCAAAGGTTAGTATCTCACGGACAATGTATTTAGCTCACTTTGCTCTTTCTTGGCAATTATAATCAAGCATTTGCAGAGAAAGACAAAAAGAAAGATCCATCTTCCCTCCCTGAGAGTATTCACACTCTCAAGTATAAAGCTTGGGTTGAAAGCTCAAGGTAGAATTTTTTTTTTGTGGGGGCTCCTGGTTGAAGTATTTCCTAATGTGTTCCCAACTTCAGACAGCACTTAACTCCTACCTCCAAGGCACTGATGGGAAAGAAGAATGAGGACAAAAGGCTGAAAATTTCAAAAAGTCCAAGTTTGTTTTAAGGAGATTACCATTTACAGTGCGATATGCATACAGGGATTAGCCAGCTGATAAAGTGTTTTATCTTTTGACTACATGGAAGAACCTTGATGTTTGTGAGGCTATGAAAAGGGTCAAAGCAGCATAGGCCCCTGGCACAAATTTAAAGAGCAAAAACTCCTACAAAATCTTACAGTTCTGCCCTCCTTTACAGCTTAAATTGGCTACCTCTGTTATAGAAATGCCCAAGTGCTCTGGTCAAACCAGTTCTCTCCTGTGAATTCTACCACCACAAAAAATCTAAAATATTATGAGAAGATCACTCAGCTTCATAGCTGTGCAGTTCACATCCAGACCAGGCCAGGCCACTACAACGAACTTGAAGCACTTCACAAACCCAGCTGGGCCACACTGAAATGCTTCGCTGGGATCCTGCTCTCTTGGGGAAATTAGGAATTGCCAGGGTAGAAAAAAAAATGTCCTTCCTCTCTCCCCCCAGTGAAACAGGTTGTATTTCAGATAGTGAAGGTCATGCTAACTGCTCAGCCAAGCAAGCCTGTATACAAAGGTTATCTCCTCCTTCAAAATCTAAAGGTCAAAGCCTAAACGTGGATAGCAAGTGTGTATGTGGAGAAGGGAAGGAACATTCAAATTCAAGGTATGAAAATAAGACTGGGGCACTGCCAGAGGTACAGCACGTGTTCAGAGCATGTCACGGCTTGAAAGGTCAGCCAAGATGATTGGGTTGGTCAGCAGATGAAAGAACCCCAAGACCAAAGAACAGCCTGAGGCTGAAGGAACAGAGGCAATAAAATAATAAAGAAAAACGGGTTTTAACATAAATAGTACTAGAAGCTATTACTAGCTCCTTACTTAGGTCTGAGTGAAGAGAAATACTTCTCCAAGGAAAGAATGGTTTTGCCATATTTTAGAAAGAATTATTCATCTGAGAGACATATGAAAGGAAATACTTTCATGTTACTGCAGAAGGAGAAAACCCAAACCCAGTGACACCTCACCTGCCTTGTACTGCACTTGTTCAGAAGAAAGGCAGCAGTACAGGACCACTCCCTTCTCCTCCTCCCTCTCCAACGCCCCAGCCACTCTCCATAAGGCAAACTGCTTTTGCTCAGGAGATTACTTTCATTCCCCATTTATTGCAGAATCATTGTCTAGAGCACAGAAGAGAAGGTAATGACGGTGTTTAGCAAAGGTATTGGTTTGATCATTGCATGTTGTTGCAATTAGATCCACAATTACAGCATCCTCTCTCTTTCTCTGTACTCCTAACCGCTTTGCCATCCTTATTTTCTACTAAGGATCTTTCATCGATGTGCTAATTTGACACTGTAATGTTCTCTCCATTACAGCAGGGCAGTCCCAAAATCCTTAGCTTTTTTTCAACAGCAAACAGGACCCCTGGCAACTTGGCTTTCAATTAACTGCTAAGTATTAGGTCATTCGAATTATCCCCAGCAAGATCCTAGAACTTCCCTGAGCTATTCAGCTGCAAGGAGGACAAACTTCTGCTTTCATGTTAGGACGGAAAAACTGCATGGGAGCAGGACATCCCTACAGGCTGTCTTCCCCCTAAAATCAACTACAGATCTTGCCTTTCAAAGCCTTTCTCTTAAAGGAAGAGTAAACTCAAGAAAAAATACACAAGGTAAATAGCACAAGCCGTATTGGGAAAAAATGTGCTGAAAAGCTGAAATAAAGGGCTGTACAATTAAACACTTGATCCTGGTGTTCAATTCTCCTCTTTAATTATTTCTAAATATTAATACTGTAATGAAACCAATTCTCAGCTTCCAACAAGTGGTCCCCAGCTCCATTTTTTAAATTTCTCCCCATCAAGAGCACTTACTGAAAGCTGCTCTCTTGCTCCTAAAGATCTTGTTAGCTTGGCAGGAAACAGAAGTTCTTGTTGAGAAGTCCTCTGTCTAAAAAGATTCTCTAAAATGTAATCCTAATTTAGTAATTGCTGCAATATCTCCTCATCCCACATGACAGGATATTCCCCAAGCCCCATCTAAAACCTCACCAGGGACTTTCAGATGCCCCTTCTATCTTTTTTCCAACACCTCTGCTTTCCTGCTTTCTATCAGGAGAGTATTCATCATAATTACTAAAAAGAGGTTCCTCTGGGAATTTCCAAAATTTACTCACCACAGGGCATCTCTGCTAACTCACTATGGACCTTACACTGGCATGCTTCCAGGTGCTCTTTACCTTGACCATTTTCAAATCAACACCAGAACAGAAATGCATCTTACTCTAAACATGCCCTAGAAGCAGAATAATTGGTTTTGATGTTCATTAAAAAACCTAGGAAATTAATGCCCTACAGCAAACTTCTGCAGCTTGCAGCTGTGTTTGAGGAGATGTGTTTGAAAGAGAAGAAGGATAGTGAGTTTTTCAAAGGTTGTACAGTTTCCCTTTCTTCTGCCAGCAACAGCCAATTCACCAAACAAATATGCCTCCTACTACTGCTAAACTAACTAAAAAGAAAACATGTTTTATAATCTTAACCATACACTAGAGCTAATCGCATCAAAGTCTGCTACAGGAAGTACAGCATGGCACCTCTGCAAAATGCCATCCCTAAAATAAAGCTCCTCCCCAGTAGTCCCACCAGCTCCTTTATTCCCTCTATGTAAAGCCAAAATTTGACCTGGTTGGCAAATACCTAGAAGCTAGGGGAAAGTCTCTTTCCTCGGTATTCACACCCCAGAGGACTACCAGAGTGGGTCAGAAACAGCAGTTATATAGATGGGCTCCTCCGGCACTTCTGAGTTAATTTTAGGGCAAGACCTGAGAACTGCTCACACAAGCACCATCACTGTCACCCCTACCAACGCCGTGCTACCGGGCAGCCCGCAACTTCAAATATCTGCATACTGAGGAGTATGAGAGTGACTCCCAGCTGTGTATTGGAAGAAACTGAAGAGTAAAACATAGCCAAAAAAATTTTAAAGACATCTGCCCTTACATACACATGTATTAAACTCTGGCCCTATTACCGTTGATGCTTGTTAGCCCCTCCTCAAACATACATACACACAATTCACCACAGACTTTCTAATTAGTTGCAGAAAAGAAAAATCAATAAGAAAGAAATTAAAGTTACAAATCTAACTGAAGTCAGTCACACACCCAGGGAAAATTTGTTCCTGGGGTAAAGTTTATCTAGTGTCATAATTTTATTGAAATCCTATATCTTCCTGTTGACTTTTATCGTTTCAAGCTGGATGCCAGAGTTATCATTATTAGAGTCTCAGTGTTGCTTGCAGGCTCGAGGTTTGGGGTTTTTTTTCCTTTTATAAACAAGCTGTAATTGTCTGGTTTATTGATCAATAAATCTTTCAACTGCTTCTCTTCACCCAGCTTCTGTTCTGGTAACTCTCCTGAAAGAAAATATAGGGTTGTTGTTTTTTAAAGAACAGATTGTTTTGTCATTAGCAATGAAAGAGCAGGAATTGTACTGGTCGGTTCTGATAATGGCTTTTTAATGACGGATTCTAGTCACAGTAAAATCTGCTTTATTTCCACACGAGTGAACTTCAACTATTAATCCATAACCCAAATGCATATCTCACTTGCTCTCTCACTTCTGCATAGGTTAGAGCCTGGCAGAGGAGACTGACTTTGTAAAGTGGAATCATAATGATATTTCCCACTTGGTGCTTTTTTGATGGTACAGAAATACTCCTGTTCCTAGAACTAGATGAGCTTTTTGTTTAATTAATGATAATTTTTGGAGAATGTTAATAGAGTGCTTCATTATAGGAAATCAGTTGCAAGATTTTCCCCTCCTCTTCCTCTCCAGACTCCTAACTCCAAATTAGTTGTAATAACCGAAAATTTTGAGACTGAAGAAAGATACGGAGCTTCAACATCAAACAGATGCTATTTGCAATCAGGTATAATTTAGCTAACTATTCCTCATAAAAACACAAATAAAAGAGAAAGATGACTATATAAGAGAGGTCTGTGCTTTCTTGCTTTAAGCTACACAAATACATATATAGAAAAAAGGAGATGGTAACTGGGCCTTGACCAGATGTTTAACAGTAAAATTAGTAGTGTGAGGTGTGGCAACATAAGCCAAAATATGGTCAGAAATAACTGAAGTACACTTAAATATATTACA